CCCCGCCCCGCCGCACTCACTTCTTCAGCTCGGGCGGGTGCGCTTTACTCATGGTGCCCTCTCAGTCAGCCCCGCACAACCGCCTCCCGCTCCTCCGCGCGGAACCCAGCCTCTGGCGTCACCGCGTCCCGGATACAGCCACCAATCAGAGCTGACGCCGAAGCCGCGTGCTGGGACCCCGACAGCCAATCGGGCGCCTGCGTATGACATCACTAGACCAGCCAGCCAATCAACATGGTCTCCGGCATCTTCTGCGGATGACCTCACTGACCCAACAGCCAATGCGGGCCGTGCCGCTTCCTCTCTCCCCGTCAGCAGCGCCTCATGGAGGAGGGCACCTAGCTCACCTCCGCCGTACTCCACAGAATAGAGGCCCAATCTCCTTTTTCCGGGGAAGCAGTGGCCGCTCGGGAGCCAGATCGTAGCAGATAATGCCAAAGCCGGTTCCACACAGGGGCCCGTCGGCCGCGGAGTTACCAATGCTGCCTAAATACGGACTCATTGAAATGTGAATGCGCGGCTCCCCTAGACAATACGGCCTCGCTTGTTGCATGTAGCGACCCTCTGGGTTCGCTTTTCAGTTCGCGTTGGCGCTGGAACCTGCCCTGACCACGTTCCGGGGGGCTGGATCCGCTGTTTTGGTTCGGCCCTTTTAACAACGTGTAGACGCAAAATGTAGGTTTGCCACATGTGCGGAGTTTGGATCTGGCTCCGATTTACACAAGAAAGTGGTGACTGACAAATAATCCGATTTCAATCCAGGAGGAACCTGCCATACGTTTGCTGCCACCCCTTTCCCTGTCTTGACTTTTTAGCTGGTAAGCTCTTTGAGGCAGGGACTGTTCCGTTGGGATGCCACTATTCCATTTGTGCAGTCCTTAGCACACCATTTGGCATTGCTTCCCTAGGCACTAAACAGGATTAATAATAAGGTTGGCTCTTTGGTTCCAAAGCAGGGAGTTGGAACTAGAGCTGTTTTAAATGTTAGCAGTGTTTGAGACACGTACTAGCTCCAACTATAATACAAAACGAAGAGCTCAAGGTAGGAAAACACATTAGAATACACAAAATCCACATTTAGCACTTCTCGCAGTGTAGCCATAATGATGAGCCTAGTAGTAAGAAAGAACTCAGAGGAGTTATCATCTAAAATTTATTTTTGAATCAAACTTTTAGAAAATAAATCCGTTTTTAAAAGGACAGAACAAAATGGTTGTGTTAATTACAGTTGTTCATGAGAAGGAACAAAACAGGACTCTCAGCTCACAATAAATAGAACCATCCTAAGGTATTCATTACATTGTCTCCAGCCACAAGGACAGGACCAGGTGGTGCTGCTGTTTTCTGGATGTCATTTCCCTTTTTATTTTGGTGGTGACTACCTCTCTGTATTGTGTTCATTTCCCTTGAGGACCACAGATTCAGAATTGCCTACTCCTGTAGCCGAGTAGCTCCATATCTGAGGCAGCTATTAATGGTTATCCATGACTAGCTTAACCTTGCCCCAGCATTCAAACCAACCTCCTCTGTCTTGCTCCCTGTCCCTGCAGCTTGAGGAAGAATGAGATCTGAAATCCACCTTAAGACTGCACCACAACACACAGAATCTGGTAGTGCACTGAACACTGCTATCAATTCTTTACTTAAGCAAACTCCTGATTTATACCAGCATGAGAGAGAATCAAGGACAGGTTCTCTGCGCGTTAAGTCAAAAAGTTATCAGGTCAAAAAGGAGGAGAGATTCCACCTATTAAAACCTTCAGTGTCTGGGGCACACATTTATGCCCCACTGCATGGAACAATACAGCTGCTATAATTCTTAATGATAGACTTCAGGCTGAATGCTGCTGTTCCTTACACCACTGCAAATCAGGAGTAATACCGGTGTAAAATCAGCATGAGTGGAGCATTATGTAGTATTGGCCATTCCTTTTCAATAGGCCATGTTCTTTGTGACTCATTGCTCCAGAGAACCCACACTTAGCTGGCTGACCTTGTTCTCTTTGTAGAATTATATATGACGGGATTGGTAGCCTGATGAGGTCAGGTGAAGTTAAAGGGCTTTTTCTCCACTAGGTTCACACACAGGCATATCTCCATTTATTCCATTGGAATCACTTCTGATTTATGCCAGTGTGAGAGGCAACAGAGACCCAAGATGTTTTAACTGCAGAAACTTGACCTACCAGTGCAAAAAAAAAAAAGTCTCCCTGACTTCCTCTTGTCTCCTTTAACATAAAGGCACTTGCACTAGAAGGACAGGGGGAACCTGTCAGTGCTAGACAATCAGTTCTGCAGATGTGAGGGCAGTTGAGGAGGGAAAAATCCTGTCCCCAAAGCATTTTTTTTTAAATCACAATAGCCCAGAGAACAAGTGAGGCAAGAATTATGGCCCTTTGAATTCTAGGGTATCAAACCCAGTGGTAGTTATACTTCAGATCCTCTGCCCATCACATCGCCACCAAGAATACGGGAGAGTGGACTTTTGAAGCCAGATACTCAGAGCGTTTACACTGGCATGGCTCCACTGACACTAATGGAACTACACCAGTTTATATCTGACTCTTAACACTTGCAGGGAACTATTGAGGCATATTACTTAGGCAGCAATGGAGAAGTTTGCACCTGTCCCAGGGACAAAGGTCCCTCACACTCCAGGCCTGTCCAGCTGGTGGTGCCTTCCAGCAGCCCTAAATTCACTACAACCAAAGTAAGTCAAGGTACTATCAAGTAATAGAGGATCCTGCTATTAGCAGCATGGTCTGTACATACACTAACCATTAACCCTTTGAGGACTGGAGCAAAGTCACTACTCTGTCCTCTCCACACCTGGTGACACTTCTCAAATCAACCCGAGACACCAACACTTCAAACCAGCTGTTGAATGGACCACTGCAATACTTTGAAAATACAAAAATCACCCTTATCATCCATTTTCATGCTTCAATTTCCAACACGAATCTCCGTGTACACGTCTCTCTCTTAATAGAAGCTATGCTTCTCCCTCTCTCCCCCAAAACAAACTCAGATTTATTGTGTAATAGCTGCCAAAGTCTCCTTCATTTTCTTGGTCATGCTGGGGATGAGATGCATGTGGTCGTCCACGCACTTCGTCACGCAGCTCTCCAGCTGCTGTTTCACCTGCTGCTCCTTGCTCCCTGAATCCAGGGAGTCTTTGGCCTTGTCGTTACAGTGCATTGTGCAGCGAGCCAAGCGGTCCTGCAAATGAGAATTCCAGACACTTAGAGGTTCAAATGGCTGGGAGCAAGTGGAAAGTGTATTGGGAGGAAGTGCAGCCATGGGAAAAATGAGCTCTTAGCCTGCTATCTAAGAGGTGGACATCATGCGTTGGAGGGCACAGAACAAAATTTATAATGGAGGGAATGGTTGGAAGAAGAATGAAACCAGCTGCAATCTGGAAGTTTCTCTCATCATTTGCAATGAGACCTCCAAACTAGGGATGTAAGTGACTAGTTGACTCTATGCGAGGCAGCAAGGGGGAACAGCAGGAGCCGGTTCCCCCCAGCACCGTCTCCACAGGGGGCAGGGAAAGCAAGAGGGTAGCGGGGACCACGCGCAAGCCGGGAATCAGCTGATTCCCAGTTTGCGTCCAGTCCCAGACGCTGCGCCTCTGATTTTTAAATGTATTATGAGCCTACGGGCTCTTAAGTTTAAAAATCAGAAACACCATTGTGCGCGAGCCAGGATGGCTGATTCCCAGCTCGCGCTGGGTCCCCCCGCTGCGCTCCTGCCTTTTTACATTATGGCTGGTGTGCAGCCGGAGGGAGACCCAGAGTCAGCACAGCCTGGTGGCTCTTCATACATTTAAAAGGCAGAGCCGCAGCAGGAACTAACGCCACTGCGGCTCCCCTGCTTATTGATCAATTGACTAGTCGATGGAAAATCTACCAACTAGTCAATTAGTGGATTAAATTAAATTTAACCTCCCTACTCCAAACTAATTTTGTTTAGGCTCCCCTCCAAATATCAAACCCTCGGGGGTGGCGGTGTGTGTGTAGCTACTCCTCCAGCCTGCTCGCTTTCAGACTTGCCCTTTCACACTGGAAAATCTACCCTAAAAAGGCACGTTCTCTTTGCAGGATGTTCTCCTTTCTGGTGTCCTGCGCTTTCAAACCCTGTGCTTCCTAATGAGCCTGGATTGAACACAGAGCACAACCTTGGTTCTCCAATACTCCCCTCACTCACAGCCTCCTCTTCTCCCACATGAGATGCCCCATTTACATTACGTAGTCCCTGCTTTGGTACGTCCCCTTTGATCCAGGTTACTTTTGCAATGGGGTTGAGCATAGAACCGACTGGCCCCGCCTCCCAAACCCGTATGTGTCCACGGCAAACCTCTGCACAGGGCTTGAGATTAAACCGGACAAGAAGAAGATTCCTCGGGGAGCTGAGGCCTCCAAGAGACTTCCACTGCCAATGCTATTGCTGTAGGGCCCCATGGAACCTGGCCTGGGGCATCGGTCACTGTCTCCTCACCTGAAATCTCTCCAGCTCTTTGGTGACGACAGCCTGGGCCTGGGCCAGGGGCGCGTGGCAGCGCTCGATGCAGTGGTGCACCTGCTGCATGGAGGCCTTGTCATTCTCGCAGCAGTCGGCGCTGCAGCGAAACATGTGCCCCTGCAGAGCCGGAAACAAAGCTGGCTGGGAATGGGCTGCGGGCAGCCAGAGGCCTGACTCTTCCAAAGCTGTTGCCTGTAGCCATTCAAATCTCACAGTACACACACCCCATTCACTGGAGAGCCCCGTGCATATATTGCACACCTCCCAGCTAGGGATGTAAAATCCCAGTTAAAGGCCAGGTGGGGAAGAGGGCTGGAGTAGCCCCCTTCTCCGCTGCAGGCAGGGCCCACTGCGGACAAGGGCTGCTCTGGGTGGCCAGAGCAGCACCTATCCACAGCAGGCCCAATGGGTCTGAAGCAGCTCCAGCCCCCATGGGGTTAG